TCTCTTAAAAAAAAAAAAAAAAGATTAATATTAATGTATTACTTAGTTTTATTTTTATATGCTAGTGCTCCCTTAGCAAATAGGTGATTTAAGAGAAACGAATCATTAAAAATCAAAACTGAAAAACTTCTGGACATTAATTTCTCATGAACTTAGAAAAAACTGTCCTTATTTAATCAGAATGGTAGAACACTTGGGTTGAAAATCTACACAATTGAAGGGTCACAGCCTTGTCAGAATCACATAAAGTGGTAACTGAGCAAGTCATTTAAGACACTGTCAAACACATTTAAAATGTAACATGTCCACAAACAACTTGCTTGCTTATCACGATCGACCTGAATTGTCCAGGTCTCCTGCCATTCTACTTGTGAAGAACGTCAGTACCCAGCTGTAATGTGGTTATCAATTCATTAATTCATTAACATCAATTTATTAACAATGAGGGATCTTGAAGCAGGGATCTGAGATTTCTAGAAAAGAATTAAAGAATTCAGAGGGAAAGATAGGCATACTAACCACCATGCAGGACACTACCTCACCATTCTCACTCGGAGTTTGTGATACGCTTACAGGTTAAAGGAACATCAAACAAGCTGTACCCTCTTCCCTGCCCCAACAAAGTCCCAGAGTAACTATCCTGGTGGATAAGAAAAACAGTTTTGTTAAAAGAAAAAACTGGGGGAACCAGCAGTTAGCATAATGGCTATGTCACTGGACTCCCGCGTAGTCGACCGCGGTTCGCGTCCCGGACCCGGTGGTTTAAAACTCACGCCGGGCGCGTGTGCGTGCGTGCCCAAGATCCCGAGAGGAGAATGGAGAAGAAGGGATTGCGGCGTGACCATCCCCCCTGGGGGGTGATTTCTCGCTTTCTGTCTCTATGTCTCTCTCTGTCTGTCTGGCGAGCGCACGCGTCCTATAGCAAAAACCTCTCAATAAATAAATAAATAAATAAATAAAAGAAAAAACTGGTACCTTAGTGAAGGAGACCCTTCTGAAAGCTGGGTTATGCCAACAGGCACTTAGATTGTTAATCATAATCTATAGCCATACATAACACTGATGTTGCTTATCAATAAGGATGAAATTCCTTACAAGGAAGAAAACAGCTTCAGCCACTGGTTCTTTAAAAGCAGCTCCGAATGGTTAATATGATTGCGTGGATAATTTTTCACAATCTCAATTCTTTCAGCTGTTTAGCCCAAGATATCATTTATCTGATTTAGCATCCCTTTAAATACTTTTACTTTTATTTTTTAAAAGGAATTATTAATTTTTTTTTTTGGCTATAGGGCATGTGTACTCACGAGAAGGGCCGGGGGGAGTAAGAAAGCAAGCTGCTAGCCACCATACCACCTGCTAGTCCTTTGGGCTCTTTCTACATGTCTTTGAGATTTCTACCAGTACATATTGGGCTGCTGCTTTCATAACTACAAAAACAGAGTTGAACTTCATACTCTCACTTGTGTCTGTCTCCTTTGGTGCAGCAGGATATGTGTGGGATTCACTTGTGTATGTGTTTTAAAGATTTATTTATTTTATTTAACTTATTATTTTAATTCACCAGAAAGAGACAGACAGAGAGAGAGGAAAAGGAGGGAGGGAGAGAGAGAGCGAGCGAGTAAGCTGCCAGGTCTGGGACTTGAACCATGGTCGGCCATGTGGGAGTCCAGCACTTCAACCACCACTCTACCTGCTGGCCCCAAGGATTCGCTTGTGTTTTTTGCACACAATTCCTGGTCACTCCATTTCACTGCGTTATGGTATTCCGATGTGTGATTATTCCATAACTTACTCATCCTTTCTACAACTGATGAGCGTTTAAGTACTAGCCAGAGTGGCGTGCTTATGAAACAGTGTCTGTAAGAGTACATGAGTGCGTGTCTTTCAGTGAGCAGATGAGGGTGTTCTGATGGGTGCACGCTGCGAGTGGAACTGCCAGGGCATAGGTAGGTGTTTGGGCAGCTTTAGTACATACTGTCAATATGTTTTCCAAGATAGTTGCATTACACTTCCCAGCAAAATATAAGAATTCCATTGTTCTACATCTTTTTTTATTTTATTCATTCTAGTATTTAATACTTGCTTTAGAAAGAAGAATTATAGGGACCAGAATTACATGGTGAAGCAGTTTTGTTGCTGGACTCCCACATGGTAGACAGTGGTTCAAGTCCTGGACCCAGAGGCTTGAAACTTAAGCCGGGCACATGTGCATGTGTGCCCAAAATCCCAAGAGGAGGACAGAGGAGAAGGGAATGTGGTGTGGTCATCCCCCCCAGGGGGGAATTTCTTGCCTTCCGTCTCTGTCTCTCTGCAAGTGCACATGCCCTATAACAAAAATCTCTCTAAAAAGAATGAATTACAGAATTAAACATCACATAAAATACTAAAGGTATAACCCAAAACAAAACAAACAAAATAACCCATCTCTAATATTGAATATTCTGCTCAAGTGTTTTACAAAGGAAGACAATCTGAAATTCCAAACTGCTCTTAAAGTATATTCTATTCTAATTAATTAAGTCACCCTGAACTGATGTTAGGGCTGTATTTTCCAAACATGCTGATATTATGAATCATCTCAGATGCCTATTATAAATACAGATTCTCAAACATATCTTTTTTTCTTTTCTTTTCTTTTTTTTTTTTTTTTTGGAGAGGTTTTCGCTATAGGGAGAGTGTGCTCGCCAGACAGAGAGAATCAGAGAGAGAGAAAGCAAGAAATCACCCCCCAGGGGGGATGGCCACACCACAATCCCTTCTCCTCCATTCTTCTCTCAGGATCTTGGGCATGCATGCACAAGCGTCCGTGAGTTTTAAGCCACTGGATCCGGGATGCGAACTGCGATCGACTATGTGGGAGTCCAGCGATATAGCCATTACGCTAACTGCTGGTCCCATCAGACATATCTTTTTATAAGAACCCTGAGATTCTTATTATCAGGCAAGTCTGGAAAATCCTGCCATTGGGATGTTTGGACCTTAACCCCTATTTAAAAGAGAACTGGGGCAAGCCAGTGGTGTGGTAGTTTTGGCAGCTGGATTCCTCGTGGCTGACTACAAGGACCAGTCCTGGACTCAGTGGCTTGCAAAGCGCAGCGTGTATGTGTGTGTGTGTGTGTGTGTGTGTGTGTGTGTGCCAAAATCGCAAGAGGAGGGAGAAATGATGGAGAGGGGATTGAGGCACGGCTATCCCCCATGGGGGTGCCTTCTTGCTTTTCCCTCTCTGGTACACTATTGCAAAATAAAACAAAACAAAAGATGGTGAGTCGGAGTAGAATATAATGTAACTACTTTGAAGAGTCCGTTTTTGGGTATTGTCTTACTTCTGTAACAGTTTCAGATATTAGATAGCCAGGTACACTGAGGCCAAAGTGCCTCGCCCTAGGTCCTTCGGTCATACCAAAACTGTCAAAGAGGATTCAGTTTGATAGACAGCCTCATTGATATGTATCATCTTCAAAAGAAATCACATTTTACTTCTAACTATAATTTTTACAGTCTACAGTTTGAAAGATGGCTGGTGTTATAAAGGAGAAAGAACATGGGAAATGGTTCATGAAACTTGGTTTCAAATTCAAGTGTGACATCTCTGGAACTCTAAATAAATCCAAAGAGCCTTTCTAGCCCGGCTCCCTTCCTGGTGAAGTAGAGATGGTATCACCCATCTTGTTCTGCTGTGGGAAAGGCTACAGAAATGAAGGCAAAGACATGAATATATAGTAAGAAATTAATAAATCTTTTTCCTTTGTAATCCGGTTTTACATCTTCTAAATTTCTTCTGTAATTGTTCACCTGTGAGCTTAACTGTTTTATAAAAATTTCTAATTACCTGCATAATGCAATTCAGCTTTTTTCAAGAAAAGTGATTAAAGGAAAAAAAAAAAAACTGTCTAATTCCACATTTTCCTTTACTTTCATCTCTGTTGGTGGAAACCAGCAGTCCTTACTTATGGCTGAAAATGATTACAAACAATAATTTGGAAAAATGTAGTAACGAGAAGTAACTGGAGGTCATAGAAAACTATAATTTTAAAATAAAGTTCAGCTCTTCCAAAACTAGAGAACATTGCTAAGGGCAATATACACACGACTTTTTTTTAACAGGACTGAAACCACTTGAAAAAGCCAACATTTCAATTTAGCCTTTCAGACGGCTTTCTAACATCAACATGCTAAGCAGTCAAATGGCATTGATTCTGGAGATCCGCGTGTTTCAAGCATCACATTTCATTTGTATGAATGCCTATGAAAACCATGCTTATAAAAATAGATCTAATTCTGTGTACTGAAAAGCAGCCTACCATATTTGAACTATATGGCCATGAAAAAAACCCCACTGGATACTATCTGCCAGTTACTACATATAAAAAGCAATGAAGAAAGGTTTATATTATATAAAGTCTCCTTCAGCTCTCTGTGGTTTGGTCCTTCTAATCTTAAAGTTGGTGAAAAACTGTGGAAAACATGAATACTTATTTTAGGAAATAAAATAACAGTAGGTAAGACTTCCAGTTAGAAGAAATTTGTAAATAATAAGTTGATGTCATATATGTATTAAACTTCACCATAAAAATCTAAGAGTAAGTAAACTGATTAACACACATCTTATCAGTAAGCTGAGTAATCGGGGCCAGCAGGTGGCATGGTGATTAAGGCACTGGATTCCCACATGGCTAGACACAGTCTGAGTCCTAGACCTGGTGGCCTGTTTTCTCACTTTCCCTCCCTTTCTTTGGTGAGTGCATGGGCCCTCTTAAATTAAAATAATAATAATAATAATAAATAAAATTAAATAATTCTTAAAAAAATAAACTGGGAAATCTAGGGCAAATCCTTCAACCTGGTGTGCCTCAGTTTTGTCCTCTATTAAAAGACGCAGTGTCACCACATACGTCGTAGGTGGCTGGGAGGTCTACACAGTGCCTGCCACCACACCTGCTCGGTAAGGACTTAGCATCAACAGTGCGGCCGCGGCAGCACTGAACTGTGGAACTCACGGGGCACGGTCACGCCGTAGTGCTGGGTGTCACTGATCAGCAGCTTCCGTTTCAGTTCATTCAGCCCTACTCCTACAGGACCTGGAAAACCAGATAAAAGAGATTCGTTATCAAACAAAACACCATGCAGACAGGTCTACAGTTGACCTGAACCCCTTAGAGAGACTGAGAACACAGATCCAATTCTGCAGCCCAGGCAAAGAGGGTATCTCCAGTTAATAAGAAAAGGCCATAGCTTTTTTGGTTATTTTCACTCTTTAAACTGAAATCTCCACCTTTCCCTCAAAAAAGTTAGAAATATTTATGTCTAAGATAAAAGAGTAGGGCCAACAGGTGGCATGGTAGTTAAGGTGCTGAACTTTCACATGGCTCACAGCAGTTTGTGTTCCAGACTCGGCAGCTTAAAACTCAACGAGGTGCAGATGCACGCATGCCCAAAATCCCGAGAGGAAAATGGAGAAGAGGGGACTGTGGCACGCCTGTCTCCCCTGGGGGATGATTCCTCACTTTCCCTCTCACTGTTATTCTCTGTTTCTCTCCACGAGCACATGTACCCTATGGCAAAAGCCTAAAAATAAATTAAATAATAAACAAATGAATTAAAATGTGAGCATAACGGAAGGATATTTGAGGATGTTACCAAGTAGTGTACCCACGAAACCTCAAAAATATGTGCAGATTTTGACCACCAAAGGCTCTCTGCCCAAACTTCACCCTCCTGCTCCCCAGGCTAGCCAAGAGTCAGGAGAAGCCAAGCAGCAGCCATCTGTATTTCAGTTCTGAGCAGAACCATTCAGGGATTTCGATCACTGAAGACCCTCTGCCCAGATTTCATCCTCCTGCTCCCCAGTCTAGCCAGGAGCCAGATTTAACTCCAAATAATAGGAAAAAAATGTATAATCCATCAGTTGACCAGAAACCACCACAGAGGTACAAGAAATATGAGAAACCAAGAAAATATCTCTCCACTAATGAAAAAGAATGACTCTTCTTCCTCTACAAAGAATACAAGGGAACTCGTGGAAATGTCAGATAATTAAAAATATTCATAGTGACAAAACTGACAGAGATGCAAGAAAATAGAGGCAACAAACTCCAGAAGATGTAGGAAAAAAGAGACACTGAGTTCCAGGAGGTGAGGAAGTTCTTGCATGATCTGCAAGAGGAGATTTACATCATAAAAAAAGAATCAAACGAAATTGTTAGAGATGAAGGCTGTAATATAGGAAATCAAAACTTCCATTAAAAATATCAAAAGCAGATTAGATCATAAAGATAATCAAACCTCTTACCTAGAGAAATTCACCAAAAAGACTGAGAAAATAACTCTAAAAAAATGAGAATAACATACAAGTAATACTAGATACCATTAAGTACCCAAACATTCAGATCATCAGTATCCCAGAAGGTGAAGAAACTAAGGGCATTGATAATCTATTCCATGAAATCTTGAAAGAAAACTTTCCAAACCTTCCTGGAAGAAAACTTTCCAAACCTAGAGAGGCACTCAAATATCCAGACCCAAGAAATGCAAAGGACCCCACAGGGAATCAACCCAAGAAGATCTTTCCTGAGACCTATCATAGCCAGTTTGCCCAAAATCACCGACAGCAACACAATACTAAAATTGGCAAGAGAGAAATGTCAGGTTACTTTCAAAGGATATTGCATAAGGCTAATGTCGGATCTCTCATCAGAAACAATGCAAGCAAGGAAAGAATGGGTAAATATATTCAAAGTGTTAAGTGAAAAACAATTTCAACCAAGAATACTGTACCCAGCAAGATTATCCCTCATATGGGAAAAAAAGACAAAAACATTCTCAGAGAAACAAAACCTGAAAGAATTTACCAACACCAGACCAGCTCTCCAAGAAGTGCTGAAGGGAGTGCTATACCAGGAAAACTAAAGTCGGACACACAGAAGTAAGAGTACAAGAAACCACCAAGAGAACGGCCAGACTAATGGTAGGGACAGGTTCAGAGTTGAATGTTAACTTCCAGAGTTTAAATGGAAAGATCAGACCACAATAACACTGCAAATTCAATAGAAGAGAGATTAATTAAATGATTCTGAACTAAGTGAAATAGAATTTCTTTTTTACTTTAGACTAGAACATTACTGATTTTCCATATTTAAGGATTTTTGTCTTTTCTTAAAGTGTTGGATAGGTTCATCTACCCACATTGGAAGTGAATCCTAACCTTTTTCCAGGCTTTAAGTTTTAAGCAGATTTCTCTTTAACATTTTTATATTTTGATCTATTAAAACTAAAACCTTTTTGAAATCAAAAATACCTATTAGTACCTATCTAATGACTGCAGTAAGATACAGCACCCCAGCAATGTGCTACTTCATACTATGCTCACTTTACTCACTGAGGTTTACGCCTAAAGTCATGATATTGAAAGTCTTTAAATTAATTAATATCTTTAGTGAATCAATAAAATGTGAAAAAGGCATGAAATTCAACTGTACATACCAGACAGTGTGGGACAAGGGGGGTAGTAGGCAGAGGGTGAGAGGTAGGGAATCAAGTGGGGGTGGAAGCAGAATATGTGAGACAAGAAATAGAAAACTATTTGTTGGTGATAGCATGTACGGTAATATCCTTGATTGAAACAATATACAACGTATACTAGATGGAAAAATCTCATTTTGTATGCTGTACTGATGTATAGTGAATGACTGTAAATAAATATGTGCACCTAATAACATTAGAGGGTACAGTCTAGATAGCGACCATTTTAATTTAAAATATTTTTAGATCTTAATAGAATAAAATCTTTCATTTTGCCTTTACTTGGGCCGTCAATTCAATTTTGCATTTAGAATGTGCAAACCCACTGGCCACCCTTGTACCTGTTGATATCCCCCCTGCACTACGCATCCCAGTTGGTCCTTAAGCATCTGGAAACTTGCGTGGGCCTTACACATTTAAATCAGTTCAGTGCATACATACAGTGATCCAGACATACAGTAAACGCTACAGACAATAAAACATTATAAATGAAACTCTATTTTCAAAGAAAGTAATTGGTTGATCGAGAGACCAGGGCTCAAAAAACAAAAAGCAGAGAGCAGTTTCAAATACAGTCTGAAATTCAAAAGTTAGAAAGTCACAGGCCCCAAATGGCCAATGTCCCTTTTCCATTTCTAGACGTCTATTTGACGACAGCAGAGTGCTGTGGGCAGAGCACAAGCTACAGGGCCAGCCTGTCCTGAGCTAGACTCTGTCTCAATCCCTCCTTGCTTGGTGATATCAGACAAGGTAGTCACTGAGTCTGATTAAAGTTCATTCTGCTTCTAAAAGTAGCTACGGCCCCTTTCTTGGGAGAAAGGAAGGAGAACTCACGGACGGTGCCTAACCCAGAACCCAGGCACTGCCAGTCCATTCCTTCGCCCACCTCCTCTTCCAACCTGGGTGGGTCAGAGGGAGCTCTGAGGAGAGTACGGTCTTATGTCAGAATACGGTGCCTTGAGAAGAGTGGTGAGGACATTCTGGGTGGAGGGAAAGGGAGAGCAAAGGTGAAGCGGCAAGAATTGGGGGCTCTGCCTTCTGGGCTCTGATGCCACTCCAAGGTCCCTCGCCACCCTTGTGTGCAAACACCTGTCCACAGGGAGCTGTTCACTAAGCACTGTCCCATGCTGCTGTCAAGTCCAAGCCCTAACAATGTCCCCTTGTTCTCTACGACAGTGGCTCTCAATGCTCCCTCTTACGGTAAATACTCCATCATGTCCCATTTATATTCAGAACACCTAATATAACATGTTAATATATTTACTTTCCCCCTCCAAATCAGTATATTGTCCTAAATGTAATACATGAAAGAAACATAATTTGCAATGAAACAATATGTATCTCAATATGTAAATGTCTGACAAAACGAGGGCAGAAAACCTAATGCAGTCAGATGTCTGCACCTACTTAGAATACGTAAGTTCAGATCTAAAAGATTGGGAGCCATTTTCTGCCAGAAAACACAGGAAAACTGAAGCCCAGAGGTATGGGTAAAATCAGAGTAAGGACTCGCATGTGGACAGAAACCACAGGTCAGGCTTATTTAAACACGGTAGGAAAGAGGGAAACAGCCTTAACTGGTATCAGGACATTTATGATCAAGACTATCAAATTAACCACATCAAGACCATCAAAGAGAAGAAAATGATACAAATGACCTGGGTTTTGCCTAGGAGAGTAGTAAAAAATGCTTCCTCACGGGAGGGGACAGGGCGTCAGTGTCATGGGAGGCGGCTCTCGCCTAGAGGCCCACCATCTACTGCGTCATCTGCTCCACGCTGAACGTCTAGCCCGACATTTGGAAGTGGTGTGGGCTGCAGATCAGAGGTTTGTTCCAGCAACGTCAAGTCTACATTCTTCGTCCCTCCCCTAGACATTTTTTTTAAAATGTGCCCTTATGCATGTTCACAACGTGCCCCTGACAGGGCCCTCTCAGTACTGCCCCTGCTGAGACTCGGTGCTCTGAGACGTAGCATCGACTCTTGTCATTCCCTGCACCTCAATTCCTGCCATCACCTTGGGTGGTGTCCACACCAGTGTGGGACACCCTTCCTCCCTGATCTCTGGTGACCTTCCTCTCCCTGCACCTCACCGACTATCTGGACACGGCTGGACCTGGCCCTCCCTCCATAGGAGCGGCTTCACTACTCAAATATTAAGTTCGAACTTCTCAGTAGGGTGTCTATCTGGCTCTGGTGGCTCTGCTCCTCTGAAAAGAGATAAAAATCTGTCCACCGTCTACAAAGCTCTGCGGGATCTAGGCCCTGCCTTGTCCTTCGGTCTGGAAGCATCTGCTCAAGCTCTGCCTTAGACCTGAAGCCTCCTGCAGTTTTCATCTGTCCCCAGAATACATTAAAAACTGCAATTAAACCACTTGTTTAGTGGCCTGTCGCTCCCACCAGACAGAGGGGCCACAGTACAGGAGTCAGGTGACACGGCTTACCATCCCCAGTCGGTCCTCAATAGACATCTGCCGAGCAATCAAGTGAAACCTGTGTGTCACCATCACCGTTCCTGCTCAGAATGACCTCAACTACCTCAGAGGACATGGGAGCCAACA